GGGGGGGGGGTTGGGTTAGGACACACAGACTGTCAAGGACGTGCATTGATACACAGGTTTGTTAATTGTTGTTGCTCTCTAAAATAGTAATTTCAATTCAACCTTTATTTACACAGGTTGTTAGTCTCATTGAGCCTCGTCATTTACAAGAGAATTGTTTTTAATCAATTTATTCAAATGTTTAACAACCTGTTAAAATACACCAAAATGCAGGAAATGGCATCTCTTTTATTCCAATTTTTCTGGGGGAGGACACATATATATATATATGTACTAAAATAAACTACTAATTACTACTACATTGTAGAAGTAAGTACTTTGTACTACTATCCTTATGTTGTGGTTTTTCATTTATCACGCCCATGTGTGTGTGTGTGTGTGGGGGGGGGGGGTGCGTGGCCGCTAAACACCGTGATAAAAAAAGGACTACTATATTTGATATTTTGTACAAATTAATAATTTTATGTTACTAACCTTACAATTGTCTTTTTATAATTAGAAATCACTAGAATAATGTAAAATATGGCATTTATTGTAGAACACATGACATAACATAAGAACAGCTGTTCTATGTGGATTAGACAGATTAGATTACAGTAAGAAATGTGGCTGTCAAAGGGTCTCTGAATCCACAGTTGGTTTTTGCCTGCGCTGCGACACCAACACGCTCAGCTGTAAAACAAATACATGTTTTAAGTGATTAATCTGAAAGCAGAGGGAGTTGATGAGATGTTTCCATGTTATGGCATCATTACCTGTTGCGACGCTGAAGCTGCTTTCTGCTCAGCTTGTGTCAGTCTTCTCTGGAGACGATTTGTCTTCTCTTGATATTCGGCTAACTGTCTCTCGTACTGAGCAAATAAACACATATCGGTTTATCACGCGGAGTAAAACACAAAAGGTTGAATTTCAGACGCTTTCAAAGCGCTCAAACACAAAGTGTAACTGTCCGTTGTGAAGTGCTTTAGGCTGCAGCTGAAATACAAAGCTGTGGAACTGTTTACACCCTCTCACAGGATTCCTTTAGTGTTTTTGCATTTGTGTCACTTTTTATCGTGAAGCTAGTTTTAATATCCAACAAACAGCAAATGCACTTTTTGAATGATCATCTCATTTAGTAACGAAAAAAGTTATCTAAAGCAACCTATGTGAACAACTGTCCTTTAAACCCACAGTAAATGGAGTGCATCATTTTTGGTGATGATGCTCCCAGTAACTAGTGCTTTGACATGTTCAGACCCACAGCTACAAACTGGGGGGTGACTTTGACAAGGACTTGAAGTCTGACAAACTTAGAGCCTCTGCAGGCAAGGCCAGCTTTTATAAGTTACATCTGTTAGCCAAAGTTGTCTTTTTTTAAATCGTCCTAACCTGGAAAAAGCCAGTCATGCTTTTATCAGCTCAAGGCTCGACTAAGGTAACGCTCTGTATGTAGGCATCTCCCAGTTCTAGTTATTAGTTTCACTCTGGATGTAACGGGACGCTCACCTTCCATAAAGATCCACTTTTGTCTATAAATCCACAGAACATGTTCTCTCAAGTCTTGGGGATCGTCTAGATGGTTTTAAATTGTTGTCAAATGTGAGATGTCCTTTGTGTTTGTTTTGCTCAGCAGTGGTTTAAGTCTTGGAACTCTCCAAAAGACCATTTTACATTTCATTTCCCTTTAGGATTAATAAAGTATTTTTTTAAATGAATTATCTCTTTCGCATTGTTGAAACATGAACTCTGTCTGATGCACGTGAGGTCTGACAGCTTCAGATGTTCTGGGTTCTTTCAGGACCTCCTGAATGAGCCGTTGATGCACTTTTGGAGTAACCGGCCACTAATCAGAAGATTCACTACTATCCCGTGTTTTCTCTGTGGACAACGGCTCTAAATCAGTGATTTATTGATTTTACAGTTCGAGCAGTAATTAGAACTGGGTGTGGCTAATAAAACTGAATTCAACTTTCCTAAATAAATAAATGAAAAAGTTAAACGGACACAGAATGAAAGGTGCATTTCCATTGGAAGAAAGACAAAAAAACCACATATGGATATAATTACAAATACAAATGAGTAAGTAAAGACAGCAGCAGAGACAGGAAATGTGGTCAGTTTGTTCTCCAGCAGTCAAAGCCTATAGCTGCATAACTAAGGAATATTTCAGGAAACCCAAGCCAACCCTAACTATAGGATTTATCAAAAAGGAGAGACTTAAGCCTAATCTTAAAACTGGACAATGTGTCAGCCTCATGGACAGAAACTGGAAGTTGGTTCCACAAGAGAGGAGCCTGATAAGTAAAAGGTCTGCCTCCCATTCTGCTTTTGGAAACTCTAGGAAGCACAAGTAAACCTGCAGTCTGAGAGCGAAGAACAAAACACAATCAGATCTGTGTTTTAATAAAGTGGCCCCTGAGAGCCTAAAGATCATAGATGCCCAACATTAACGTACAGCCTTCTAAAACTGAAGTGTTCCCACTTTTCTCCTGAGGAACATTTATTCTGAGCTTGTTCCTCTGCATCTTTAAACAGTTTTTCCACAGACTGGTGGAAACTCTTACCATCTTTATTTGAGACAATCAGCCTCTCTGAAATGCTCTCTATAACCAGTCCTCTTACTGTCCTGTTGCAAATTAAACTTATTAGTTGCAAAACGCTCTTCCTCCTGTTCTTTATTTGAACCGCTTCCTTTTATAACCTTTTATTGCCCCTGGCCGAACCTTTTTGGTTGAAACATTTGATTTTATGCTATAGGTAGTGACGTTTGTTTGATGATCAGAAACAATAAACGTGACAAAAAACAAACTGTAATCAAATACGTGCAGCAATGTATGTAGTAGTATATAAAAAACAACAACATTTGTATAATTTAACAGGATTTGTGTTATACATACTTATTTTAGTGTTATAACTTTGAACATCACTGAGCTAGCACTTTTATATAAATACAAAACTTGTGGCATGTTTTTCTCTTCCTTTTTCAATAACGTCTCACTCTTGAGCTCGTGGTACAAAATAAGTTTATTTTTCCATGTATAATATTAGTCATTTGAGTATTGGTCACAGCTCCATGTTCTGATAAATAACATTGTGTGTGTGTGTGTGTGTGTGTCACTCCAACCTCATATATTGTATTATGGTCTGTTTCAAGCTTGATCTCTAGTTCTTGTGATCGCAGCTTCTGCCGTTTTAAATCTGCCCTGAAACAAACGCAGAGAAAAAATAAAAATAGAGCCAATGCACTTCTTGTAAAGACAATAAAAACAGTCCTAAAGCTTTGTTTTCAGCTGTTTAACATCTTCAGTATTTGAACAGATCTCATTGTGGTACACGTTGCTCCGAGCACAAAAACCTCAAGTGTTAAATCAATTTTCGTCTCAAATGTGCTGAGTTGTGTGTTCATGGTAAAATAGATTAAATAAAGTCCTTAGGCGGTGATGTATCAAAGTGGGGATTATTGTTTTTGGAATAAAACACGTTTTTTATTGTATTTAATGAAGCACTGCATTAACTGTTAAAATATTTCATCTATTTTAAAACATCTTTTGACAGACTGTCGGTTACTAACAAGTTTCGGTTAAACTGGTTTCGATTAAACACTTCATTTTGCAGAATGTTCGCTCAGCTTGCTTGTTTTTCGAGCAGCACGCTGCGTTTCATTTGCCAAATGAGAGACAATGTGGGACAAAAGCAAAGGCTGATGCAGGGGGTGAGGGTACAGATGCATGCAGATGTGAGTTCTCGTCCCTGCTCTGTCCATTTGGACAAATTCTGAGCGTGGCTAGTGTCTCTGCAACAAAAGCGGAGCTGCTCCAGTGGCACGTAAACACAGAAGTAGCTCGAGGAAAACAGAAGATCTGAAGTGACACAGCCAGAGCGTGGACCGGAGCGCCGTGCAGCATCTCTGGAGACGTGAAAAGAGTTGTGCACTCGTGTTTCCCTTCCAGCTTGACTAGACTTACACATGTCTGCCTTTAAAAAAATGCCAGAAACATACAAAGGGAAAATATGGCAAGCTTGTAGGATGATTACGAGGAAGAACCGGGCTGTGCTTACTCGTCCAGGAGCTATAATTTATTCTGTTGTGGCACTGAGTTGACCACAATTTTTCCTAAAGAGTTTTAATAAATAATTTATTTTTTACATTCTCAGAATTTGCAACGTTTGCAATCGTCAGGACACCTCGGATCCCCTTGTGAAATGTTCATACTGGGTATATTGTATTCTTCGGACTAGAAGGTGCACGTAAAATCCTTTAATGTTCTCAAAAATCGACAGCGCGCCTTATTTATTAATTCTGGTTGTGCTTTCTGACCTCAAACCGATTTTATGTGGTACAAGTGAAAAATGTTGAGTTATTGTGAATGAGTTGAATAAAGTTCAACTTATCTGTTTTGCTTAATGCGCCTTATAGTCCGAAAAATACGGTGAACAATTTGCCAAGTCCTACATTTTCTTTCTACTTACTTTATTCAGATTTAGGACATGCTGCAACATTTTGATGCTTTACCATAAAATTAGACTAATTCACAAAATTCATTCAACCTTTATTTAGACAGGTAAATCCCATTGAGCCTCGAGGACTCATTTACTAGAGAGACCTGAAAAATGAAAAAATACATAAGGACTTAAAAGTTTTACGTTCACGTTTGCTCCAGAAGGTGAAGAATAAAAGTTTTAGTACTTACTGATGACTACTGTACTTTACGGTCTATAAGCCGCTACTTTTTTCCACAGGTTTTGAATTTTACAGCTTGGAACAACGGCGCGGCTAATTTATGGACTTTTTTTTTTTAACGGGCTGAGCTTCCTGCCACCAAAACATTTAGCTTTGTCACACCCGGGCGCTCACTTAGCTGCCCAGTACTTGTGACTCAATGACCTGTATAAATAAACAAAAAATAATAATCTGACCAATGAAATAAGCAAACAGATCACAGGTGAACCAATGAAACGGAGCGAGGAGGAGAAGGGGGGAATCCCCTGAATACACAGAGCATGTGAGGGGGGACTCACATGCTCAAAGAGCAACTTTTGCTCCACGGAGCAGGAGGACAACTCGCGCAGGAAGAAATATGAAGATATTGTATCTTTTTTTATTTAACCAGCCGTGTTACGGGCACTGTTCAGAAAAAAATAAAATAAAATTACTGTACGCATCTGTGTTCATTCTGCTGGTTGACTGTTGGTCAGACGGCTTCAGGGAGGGATTATGGGTAGAATTTAAGTTTATGGTAATCATTCCATTTAGCCGTTCAGCATTGTTCTTTTAGTGATTAGTCTGTTCTTGTTAGCCTAGTTTATGTAGTTTGTGTTCATTCAGTAGAGTAACCATGAGTGTGGGAGGTGGTTGTCATGACGACATGTAGGGTTCACCCTGTGTGTGTTGAACAGTAAGATAACGTCTATAAAACATCATCTGGTGGTTGATTCTTGATTTACAACAAGAGCTGCACATCTGTCTCAGGAGCTGTGTGCTGCCACTCACCTGCAGCTTCAACACAAGCGCAAATTATATATGTACTTTGTGTGTGTGTGTGTGTGTGTGTGCATGGCTTATAGTCAGGTGAGCTCTATAGTTTGGAGATTATGGTAAATGTATTTCATTTGTTTAACCCTTATGTTTTAAAGAGGTTGTTTTCAATTACAGCAAAATGACAGTTTTGCATCCATCTTTTTTTTCTCTCTTAGAAACCGTCTGCACAAGTTCTTACTTAAAGCCTGTGATTTTAGTTTCAAAGGCTTGCACGAGGTTCTTGGCTTCTTCCTTCCACCGCTGAGTGCTCTTCTGCTGTGCTGTGAGGAGGCGTGTCAGATCAGCACTCGAGCTCCGGCTACTTTCCTCCAGCTCCCTGACTCGCGCATCAAAGCTCCGCTCCTTCAGGTTGTATTCTTGCTCCATCTGTGACACCTGACGGACGACAGCAAGTAAGTCAGGTTGTCCACACAAGTTCAACTATTTAAAATGAATAAAAATATATATATTAAAACTAATGACATGAAACGCCTGAAATAAAAACAAACTCATCAAATTACGCTTGTTATAATAAACAGTGTGAGGGACTACACTTCTTGGGGAACGACTCACAGTTTTACTGTCAGACAGTCACGTTTTAAAAGGCAGAGCTCCGTCCTGTGCTCTCTGGGTCACATGAAATAAAAATCCCTTGAGAGGATTATGTTTTGAGTGCACTGGAATTATTAATACTGACTCATCGTACAAATCTAAGCAACCAATGTTGATCTCACTCCTTTTTCTTTATTCATTTTGTCTACGTATTAAAAAGAAAGCACTCTGAATGTTTGACCTTTGCCCTGCAGCATGACTTCCTTCCCTTTATTCACTTCCACGGTTTACTTGAATTTTACTTTGATCCATTTAACTTCACTGGCGGCATCAGAAGGCAACCAAAGCACCATCTTAACTGTCTAACTTAAATATTCTTAATCTTCAGGTAAGTCCAAGAAGGTTTTACTGTGTGAATACCTTCTGCTTGGCTTTCTTTTGGACGAGCATGGTGGTCTTGCGCAGCTCGTCCATCTCTTTACGAAGCTGCGTGTTTTCCTGCTGCAGCTGAAGCCGCTCCTCGCTGACACCGACGCAGTCGTCCCGAGCTGCAGCCAAAGAGCCCTGCAGCCGCCGCACCTCCTCCTGACACCGAGACAGCTCCTCGCTATAGCTACAAGAGTGCAAACATAAAGGGATTCAATTTCTGCCTCAAATCTAAACCTGTGCGATGTCAAGTAATTCTTACTCCATCTCCATCGTTTTTAGTTTGTTCTGCGTGCTGTGCAGCGTGAGGCTTAGGTCTTCTTTCAGTCTCTCTGCGTTTAGACACCTTAGATGAAGGGCATCAATCTTCCTATACTCTGGCTCTGCCCTGCCCTCCTTATACACCTGAAGCAAAAACACCACCAGCTATTACTAACAAATCCACAGCCCTGCCCATACCAACCACAGTCACTTTGTGCTTTCGCAGATACCTTCTCCAGTTCCTCCTCCACAGCTTTTCTCTCACGCAGGGACCTTTCAATCTGTGACCCTTTATCTGCACACTCCTAGAAAGAGTTTGGAAGACAGAACAAGGGTTGACAGGGAAGGAGTGTGTTCAGGACAGAAGCAGACAGGCAGAAACTACAAAAGATTTAGTGTGATTTTGAAAGGAAAATCCTCTTAGAGGAACAGGTTTGTACCAACTGCAGAGCAGACAGCTCCTCTGCCATACGCTGGATTTGGACGTTGCACTGTTTGCGCACATTTTCTACCTGTTGGAGGAAAAAAAATAAATAAATGAAACGACAATTCATATTTAGCTTTGTGCCCAACACAGAAGAGGAATTGAAACAGACTGGTCTGTATTTAGAATGAACCCTGACTGTATCTCTCTGCATTCAAAGAATATAAATAAATTTCATAGCACATTGAAAAAAGGGCTTTAAAGAATGTGTTGAGCTAAACGTACACGATAAATCTGTATTTTTTGGCCTAAAAGTTGTAGTTATTTTGCATAATTTGCATAACCTGCGACTTGTACACCAAAGCAACTTATTTATGGATCTTTTTCTCATATTTATAAACCAATTCTTGGCTGAGATATGACCGTTTTCATTCATTCTGACTGAAAATATTGAACACTACCATTTTCAGCCGCTAGATGGCACTCATATGACACAACGGCATTCCATTCTATTTAATAGGTAAAAGTGGCTATTAATGACACAATTGGCTTGCCATACATGCCACCTTCGTCCAGCTCACTTGGAGCAACCGTCAAATCAGCTTCATTTCACTGCACCGCATCAGCAAAATGCAGCTGATTTGACCATTAAAGTGCATTTATTAAGTAAAAGTTCAACTGAGACACACCTTTACTATAATGTCGAGCAAACAAATAATTGTTTTTATGTGGTTATCTTGTTAAATTTCAAAGAAATGCACAGCGAGTCCTCCCGTGCACGCTCCCACAGCTGTGTATCAGCTTTTGAAATGCAGCTGATTTGACCATCAAAGTGCATTTATTAAAAAAAAAAAAGTTTGACTGACAAACCTTTGCTATAATTTCGAGCAAACAAATAATTGTTTTTAAGTGTTAATCTTCTTAAATTCTTGTTAAAGTCCTCCCGTGCACGCTCCCGCAGCTACCATTTGGCAGCCAATTGATTTTTGGCACAACACTGGTCCACATTTCCGGGTTGTCGTCGGTGACTCATAATAGATGCAACTTATACGGCAAAGTGACGTATTTATGGATTATTCCACTTTATTAGACGTATTTGGACTGATGCGACTTATAGGGCGGTGCAACGTGTACGGTGGAAAATACAATAATGAAAGATTGTATTGAACAGTAACATCGTTCTAAATACTTCATTAAAAGCTAAAGTTCAATAGTTATTTCATTTGTCTGATGTAGGAGTCTAGCTGGTCAACAGCTCTGTGTCATCTCAGCTGCATTTCTTGATTTCTTTATTCTTGATGCACCAAATGCTCTGAGTCGGTGAGAGGTTTGGACTGCAGGTAGTCCAGTTCAACATCTGGACTCTTCTACTTGTGAAGGGATGATGTGCCGCAGTTATGGATGCAGTGTCTTGTTCCAACATACAAGACTTTCCTTAATAAACATCTTTAGGATGAGAGCATGCGGCGTACCAAAACTCGTATACTTTGTTTTGCACTGATGGCGCCTTTACAGATATGTAAGCTGTCCAATGAACCCCTATACCATCAGAGAGGCAGGCTTTTGAACTGTAAGCTGATAACAAGTTGGATGACTCATCTTTAGGGCATTTGTGATTTCCCAAAATCTTTCCAAATTTTGATTTGTCAAACCACAGCCTATTTTAAAGGAGAGGTTGTGCCTTTGAGCACAGCAGTTTCTCATGATATTTTAGATATTTTGATATTATGAACTGGAGAAATTCCCAAGTCTTCCCAACTTTCCATAGAGAAACATTGTTCTGAAACTGTTCCACTATTTTTAGCAGAATAGTGAACTTGTCTATCTTAACTCCAGAGAGAATAAGCCTCTCTAAAATTACCTTTTCATGCCAATTCCTCTTTCTGACCTGACGCCAATTAACCTGATTAGTTGTAAAATTGTCCTCCAGCTGTTTCTTATTTGGACCACTTACTTTTGCAGCCTTTTGTTGCCCCCATCACTATTTGTTTAGGGATGTGCTGCTGCCATCAAATTCAAAAAAACTTCATTAAAAACGTACAATTGATACGTTCGCTATGCTCCATTTTGAAAAACAAGGGGTTTATGAGATTTCCAAACCATTTCATTCTGCTTTTATTTATATTTTACACAACATTCCAACTTATTTTGAAATTGTGGTTGTACAACTAAATGCATTTTCAGAAGACACAAAGTCGTAACGGTGGCTATTTTGTTATTTAGATTAATAAGAATGGCAAAATAACTGTGAGCATGCCTCTATTTTAGAAGCTCTACCTTTAATTCCTAAAAGCCAAAGTGATATTTATGGTAACTAGCTCAAAGATTAATTCTTCATTCTACAAAAAAATTGTCTTTCTCAGAGTAAATTTAAATTAAGATGAGGTACAAAAAAGAAGATAAGCATAAAAAAAGTACTTCCTCCAGCTGCAATATTTAAAATTAATTTCAAGGTTCACTGACAAAAATATCTGGGAGGTAAAAAAGGTAAATTATCTGAGCTCGTGATTAGCAGAAAGTCCAGAGCATCAACTCTCGCTCAGTGAAATACTTTTTAAAGGCCAGTCGGTGAAGACGGCGCTGGCCTGTGCTTCAGTCGTGCTACGCTGCGTTAACAGGATTAAAAAGTCCACGAGCTTGATGGAGAACAGCGCACTAATCAACACATTTCTGTCCGAGGCTGCACGGGGTGAAAGAGCAGCGCTCTGATTTTGGCTTGGGGATCCACGTGTTTAAGCAAACAAGGCAAAAGGTTGAGCAACTTGTAAAGTTCGTGCTTCCTCAAAGTGAAACTCAGAAAAGTGTGTGCTCTCTCATTTGGATTTGCAGATATGCAGTCTTAAAACAACAGAACATATCAAGACTTTTTAACCAGTGAGTTTAGAAAACTGTGTAAAGTTCAAAGCAGAGCTCAGTCACACCATGGATGCATTTAATAGAAATATTTATTCATCCATTTAGTGTTCGTCTACCTCTTTTCTGGTTCGGACCGCTGCCTCCTGGATCAAAAGTTTGATGGCCTCCTTCGTCTTTTCTAGCTCTTCTGTCTTCTGCTTTTCTCGTAACAGTGACTGCAGGAAAAAGACGGGAACAGGGAAGGTGAGCGAACACAGCAGCTGAATGGATTCAAGGGGAAAAGCCAGCGACAAAGAGAAACAAGTGGTACGCTGATGTCCCCCGTCGCTGAGGGAATTGAATCAGGAATGTTTTTGAGATGAGTGTTTTTCTGGACGGGGATTGAACAGAGGGAGGTTTTTGGTTTTGCTTTTCCGAGGTGGCACAGAGTGATAATGGCGAAAAGAAAGAACGATTTTATTTAACACCAGGAACAATGGCGGAGCCAGGGGGTGGCCGATGGTGGCTTTGGCCACAATAGATTAATCCTCGGCCACCGCACGAGGCATTTGAAAACAAAACTACAACTTTTAAGCAAAAAAACAAAACCTAGAAAGCAGTTTCCTCAAATGATAGGGGTGGTCGGCTTATAGGAGTCCCTCGTTTATTGAGGGGGTTTGGGACCAAGCCCCCCGGCGATAAGTGAAAAACTGCAAAGTAGGGATACAGTTGTTCAAGTAAACTTTATTGTCATTACCATCTCATGTACCATGAGATGGAACAAATCATGTACACAAGTAGTAGTTGTAGTAAGTAGTAGTTTATTTTAGTATTTATATATATATAAAGGTGTTTTAAACCCTTCCCACACTCTTGTAATGTTCCTAACAATGTTTCTAAACTCTAAACGCTCTAAAAAAGCACAGCATGTCATGATCTCAGCTCTATTGCCACCTGCGGCTCTCTGCCCCGCCCACTTCCTCACTTCCCGCTGCAATCACACTCGTGCTCATCACTCCCAATGTCCCTCCTTATGTGTAAGTAACCTATTTAAATTTAAATACTGTACTGTAATAGTTTAAATAAACAATCCATGCTGCATGAGCAGCTTTATGTTAAATAATCAATCACGACCGGAGCCGAGCCTTTAGACCCCCTTGGCCAAAGGCCAGGCCAGAATGGACAGCTCTTGACAATATGTATGACGACAGCCATCTTGGATTTTGACATGGCAACCCAATTTTCAAATAAAGCCCTTTCTTTTGAAAGGTTTTACCATGTTTTTGTCTCACTACCTGAACTGGCAACCTTCTCACTGACAGGCAGCAGCTCCACCAGCTGCTTCACCGTGCTGCCCCTATTTTTTTTTTTTGAATTTTTTATTATTCACTTTTAGTTCTTAATGGTCTTGACCCACCTTATTGAGTTGATCTAATAGCTTTTTGTGAGTGTAAGTGAATACACTTTTACGGTTTGTGCCAAAGTCCAAACACAGACGGGGGGGCCGGGCACTGAAGGTCGCTGCACCCCGGCTCTGGAACCAACAACCTCAGGATCTGCGCTCCGTCACTGTTCTGGCTCTTTTTAAGTCTAATCTTAAAACCTTTTTATTCAGGCAGGCTTTTAATACCTACTGGCTCTCTTGCATTTTTGTATTGTTTTAGTTTTTGTTTTGTGAAGCACTTTGTGCACCTTTTGGCTGTTGGAAAGGGCTCTATAAATAAATATTGATTGATTGATTACATACCAATGAAAGTTGGTACCTCCCTTATTTTTTAAGTGATCATGCTCACAACATGCACGAACGGACAAATGGAGGGTATTTCTAATTCCCCCTCTTCGCTCTGCGACAGGGGGTAAAACCCGACTAGATAAAGGACAAAGACTAAGAGCTACTGTTACCTGGTCCTTCTGCAAGACGGCCTCCTCCGCCACTTGAACACTCTCTCTGACTTTGGATAGAGCCTCATATTTCTCCTCTTCCAGGGTGGTGCAACGTGCCTGGAGTTCCCAGACTTTTCTCTCCCACACAGCTTGCTCCCTGCGAACTGTCTCTGCCTCCTGAGATGCAGCTTTCAGCCTGAAGTGAGAGCCAGCAAAGGAGGGCAAGTCAGACAATTGCTGCCTGGCCTCGTGACACTTAAAACTCAGATATAAAATTCGGTGACTTTCTATAAGATCAATACTGCAGTAGTTTATTAATCCGAAGAAGAGCTCATTGTAACTTCCACTTACTGCTACGAGGGTACAGGGATTACTGGTGAGGCAGCAGGCAGCTAATGAAGTTCTCACCTGGTCTCAAGTTGGTTCAAAGTTGTCTGAAGCTGTTGGAGTCGTCTGTCAGCTGCGTCCTCTCGTCCCTGAGCCTCTGCCACATCTTCCTCCTAATTGCACAGGCAGGAATAAAATAAATTTTAACTGTTTGAAAAATATAAAGCGTACTGATAAGAGTGAGTTTGCATGGCAGAGTAATACTTAAAGAACAACCAAAACTTAAATTTGTACATTATTTCCTGCTTCAAATCCCGAAGCATTTCCTTTACCGTTGATGGTAATTAGACGTTAAACCAACCATTCACTGATGAAGACAAAGGAAGAGTAATAATGTTTTATTTTCCCGTGCCGGTTTAATTGTCTCTACTGTTAGCACAAAATGTTACAAACCACTGAACGAACTTGAACATAATGTTCAGAAAATAATAACTGAGTTGACATCTACAACTGGTTAACTTTTGGAGCTGATCAATCTTTTTCTTTTGGATGAATTTGTTTTGTTTATTTAGTTTCTTTTTACTCTTTTAAATGAATGAATGAATAAATGAATTAAATAAAAAATAAATAAACAGATAAATCGATCTCAGTCAATTAAACAGATACTGAGCTGAAATTTGATGTGGTAGTAGCTGAGCATTATTTCCTACACAAGCTCTCCGAGTTTTCACATTGTGTGACTTCTTTGCATAAAACCTTGGCATTTACTTTCTGAGCCAACCCTGTTTGTCTGTTAGCAAAATATCTCATGAACCACTGGATGTTTATCCATGAAACTCTCATAAGGGGATTATCGCGCGCACATCTACAACTGGTTGACTTTTGGAGTCAAAACAATTCAAGATGGCCGCCACAGTTCTCAACCTTAAAAAACACAAAAATGCCAATACCTCAATTAATTTTACAGGCAATAAACTAAAAATTGGTATAGCTGACAGTCAAAACAAATATTTCAAGCTCTAACAAATTAGGTGAAATTGTAGGAAATCATAATGATATATGAGCCATTCAACTAAATTGCTGGAGGGTGGTGTGTGTGTGTGTGTGTGTGTGTGTGTGTGTGTGTGTGTGTGTGTGTGGGGTGGGGGGGTTACTGTGAAAGCCAAGAGCTCAGGGTCCAGACATCCAGCAGTTATTGTCAGTTTGTTTCATGGTTTAAAATCTAGTTTTATTTAAAAATGAACCCACTGGTGGGCCGAACTGAGCTCACTCGTGGGCCTGATTTGGCCCCCGGGCCACCAGTTGAATCGCCCGGAATAGAGCCTAGCATCATTTTTAAGGCCTGAGCAAAATTGTTGTCATTTCCTGTGTTGATAAAATGATAAGCATGTAAGGCGGCAGGTGAAATGCATTTCTCCAAGGGTTGCTAGGCTCTTTTTTTATCGATTGACGATTGATGTTTACTCACTTTTCTCTGCATCTGTAACTGGACATTTTGCAACAATTTGGTCATCTCGTCCACTTTGGCTGTGGCTGTCCTAAGTTTAGCCTTAGCCTGTCTGTAATGGTACAGAAAAATAAAAAAGTCAAAGCAAAGAATAACAATGACAATTTTAACCATTTAGAATTTCAGTTAACATTGTTACAATTAAAGAAAGCAGCTTCCAAAAGTGAAAAGTACTTTTATTTTGTCATTATGCTAAAAGCTAGTTAACCACATAATAACCTTTATTTTATCCGGTAAGTCAACAGAAAACCAGTTCTCATTTTAAATGACGACCTGGCCAAGAGGCAGCTACACAGGTAGACATAAAACAGCAACGATAAAAGCATAAAAACACAAAACAAACATCATAATTCAATGTTTCTGAAACGTACTACACAATATTTAATAAAAAAGAGCATCGGGAAGAACAGAAATTGTGACAGGCTTTGTAAAACTATCAGCAAGTACAGTGATCTTGCACTGAATTTTTTAAAAGAGGAGAGCGTAGTGAGAGCTTTAAGCTCTGCTCGAGTCGTCTGAAGCAGATACTGAAACGAGGAGCAACCACAGGAGGTGTGTGCTTTACGCATGACAACATCGATGAGGTTAATAACGTAAACTGTGATTTGGATTGTGAATAGTAAGAAGTGACTGCAGGTAAATCAGGGTTTTCCCAGATGCAAAGACTTTGTTACTTTCATGTCTGTCGGGTCGTATCAATATCAAAAGAGACACGTCTCCAAGCTTTTAATTCTTTTTAAATAATTAGATACAGGTCGTTGTTTTGGAGCATTAAAAACTGCAGCATAGAGGTGGTAAGGAGGGGTTTTACAGGAGGTTATGTTACGGGCTGATGGTTAGGAACATTGACTTCCTGAAGCCGCAGCCGGTGTCTGGGCTACTTGACAGTGACGGCAAACACCTTGAATCCAAAAACTATGTTTGGCTAGTTCTCTTATACAACGTGTAAAATAATACTTACAAATAAATAAAAACCTCCCCAAATTGAACTGTTCCTTTCTTGACTTACAATGCAATTTAACAAGTAAATTAAAATAAAACATAAATATTTCCATTGCATCTAGTCTGAAAAATGTCACAGCTATTGAGCAGTATATTTAAGTACCGTGCACGTCGCACCACCGTATAAGCTGCATCAGTCTAAATATGTCTAATAAAGTGGAAGAAAACATACGTTGCTTCGCTGTTTAATCTATAATGCATCACCGCTGATGCGTCGCGTTTGTTATGCGTCACCCCAGACCACCAGGAAACTGATGGGTGGGCCAGTGTTGTGCCAAAAATCAATTGGCTGCAAATGGCGGCCGCGGGAGCGTGCACAGGACTTTAACAAGAATTTAACAAGATTAACACTTAAAAACAAATATTTGTTTGCTCTAAATTATAGCAAAGGTGCGTCTCAGTTTAACGTTTCTTTAATAAATGCACTTTGACGGTCAAATCAGCTGCATTTCGCCTGGGTGGTGCGGCGAAATGCAGCTGATTTGACGTTTGCTCCACGAGTTCTGAAGTGAGACGAAGGTGGCTTTGTACGGCAAGCCAAGTGTCTCATTAAAAGCCACTTTTCCCTATTAATGAGACACTTGGCTTGCCATATTACTTGAGGACCCTCTAGTGGCTGAAAATGGTAGTGTTCAATATTTTCCATGACAAAATGAGTGAAATCCTCAGATCTCTGCCAGAAATTTGGTTAAAAATATGGGGAAAAAACATAAATACGTCACTTGGCTGCATAAGTCACATGACTTGCCAATTTATGAAAAAAAAAAAAAAAAAAAACGGTGCGACTTATACGCCAGCAAATACGGTAACTGGAAACAAACAGAAATATAGACATATTAAAGAGTTAAACTGGTCATTTTTACCATAATTTAGCTCCTGAATCTGAATGTGCAGTTAGAAGACGTGAAACAATTTTTTTAAACCTATTTTATTACATAAATTAGACGTTAATAATGAAACAAGATCTTTGGCAGCAGCCAATTTGAATCTAAGATATTTAGTTACCTGAGTTGACAGTGTAGCTCCTCCATTTCTGTGTTTTGCTCCGTCACCGTCTTCAGGAGCTGCTGGTTACTCTGAGTGTGGCAGGAAAGACAAGAATGCCATTTGCGCGGCATGATTCTGAACGCACAGCGTCAGGATTTTACTTTTCAGCAAAACTTTTCTCTCAAAACTTTCTTTACCCTTTCAGAACGAACCCTAAGGAGCCTGTGTCAGACATCCACAGCTACAAAGTCAATTGTTCTCATATGCAGTGACTGAAAAAAGGCTGCTTGCATGAACAGTCAAAGACGGGAGAGCCCAAGGCTTGCCCACACATTAAAAATGCATTAGAGGGATATAGTATTACTATAGTATCTCCACACACACTGAGCAAAGATGAGCAGTAGACTACTGTTTAAGTATATTTTGTTATGTGTATGCATAGTTAGGCTGAGCCTCTGTCAAGTCAGCTTCTTTTAAAGAGAGCCTGAGCAGTCAGGTGTTTAAATATCAGTGATTTCAGGTGACAGGGAGACAATAATATACAGCTTAAACATTTAGAAGTGAGCTGACAAACCATTATACAACAAGACATTTCCATTATACACGACATTTCTTGCATACCACCAGAGGGCTTCAGCAACCAATTCACTTAGTTTCAAGATTGATTATTAGAGCGGAGTTCATTTTGGAAAAGTGCACAGCATTTTGATTCCACAGCTAATAGGAAGGCGGTAATTTAACACGTTTTTAATTAAGCATTACTTACCAATTCCAGTTTCTGACTGGACGCTTGAAGTTTGTAAGTGTGCTGCTGGAACTGAACAAGCTGATCCTGTGATGGCAAAAAGGGAGCGTTCAATAGCATTTAAGTGCCAGTAATTACCTCTAGCATAGATCAAGAATTATTCCAGCCCGAACAACTCAACCCAACAACCTCACTACTACTGTATGATAATGGCTCCATCTAGTGATGAGGTCCTTATGGATAGAAGCGGATACATGTGTTGGTAACAGAAAGAATGCTTCATATCTTTTGAAAAGTGACTCAGTTAAAAGCAAGTCAAATGTTTATGTGCATGCTTTTAGTGTGCGATAGAGTAAACAATCTGTGACAAGAAATGACGTCATTTATTTTACAAATAACTGCAAAAAAATAGTCTGAACAGATTTTTTTTGGTACCAATAAAAACACGGTCATGTTTTAACTGTTTGACCTTAATTTGTATCGCAAGTGCCTTCAAGCTTTTCATCAGCCATGCAGCCTATTTAAAGGGGGCACATGTTGCAGTGGGTGGGGTGGTTGTGTGCACCACACTGAACATGGAGCAGAGAAAGCAAAGATAAGATGAGTCTGAGGGGCTCAGAAAGAAGATTACAGATATCTAATGGTAAACCCTACAAGACCGTTTCCAAGTAGCTCCATGTTTCTTTGACCACAGCTGCCAGTATTATTAAAACGTACAAGTTTCATGGGACTGTAGCCACATTTCCAGGATTAGGATGTCTTTAACGAATAAGAAGTTATGAGCTGGAGGAAATTACAAAAAAAAACTTGTTTGAACTTTGACGTTGATTTGTAACCTTCATCTTGGAGCTGGGGTGATGAAAACTCTCTGCAACACCCCGTCTAATGATGATCCATGTGTATGAAGTTTCATTTAATTATCTTGAGCGGATCAGATGTTATGACTGATGTATGTTTGGACAGAGGCTATACGGTAATACATCTGCCTTCAACGGGCGTATGAAAACATTAAAATACCAAACTGAAATCCAACGTATGTTATAAGCCCTACATTTGGGGGGGAGGTTTCTGGGATTGATGAGACAAAAATGGAGCTTTTTGGCAGTTATAACAAGTTGTCTTTTGTTTTCATTGTGAGAAGTAAACTTTTTTTAACTGTAAAACCAATTTATCTGTGGCTGTATGTACATCTCCATTACAGCAGGGGTCTCCAACACATAGCTAACTGTAGCTCGCTAGCTCTTCTCAAGTAGCTCCTAAAAGGATGGATTAAAAAAAGAAAATAAATCTGTGGTCAAATTTGATTTGTCACTGAACAGAGAAACTTACATTTACAATACAGTAGTCCCTCGCTACTTCGCTGTTTGTTTATCGCGGACTCACTCTATCGCAGATTTTCAAAATAAGATTGGACATGACACACGACTGGCTGATTGATGGATGAGCCGCACGATCGGCATGGAATTTTTACTTAAAATACATTTTTAGCACCTGCTGCATCTTTGTGCAGCCCACACTGCAGGATAAACTTCCTGCTGCAGCTGATCAGCTGTTCACCGTGCAGAGCGGAGAAGTGGGCGTGGCCAAGAGCGCTTGCAGGTGGCAAAGAGCAGAGGAGGCAGGGAGCTGAAATCATGACATTTTGTGTCTTTTAGAGCATTTAGAGTTTAGAAACATTGTTTAGGATATTGCAAGAGTGTGGGAATGGTTTAAAACACCTTATGTATATATATATATATATATATATATATATATATATATATATATTATACTTACTTCTTGTACTACTATTCCTACTTGGCTGTTTTTCACTTATTGCAGGTCTTCAGGGTGAGGATTCTCCGCGATAAAAGAGGGACTACTGTATATCAATCAAATTCATAGATGCCCCACCCCCTTCTTACATTAAAATATTATTTGACAACTAGAAAGTTCCTGGATACAATTTGACGGGGACTGCCACGTTGAGGCTATTTTAAATTTTTGATTTGACAGTACTATTGCTCTCAGCTACCACCATACTAAATTTAAGCTCAATCACTGAGTTATAGTCATTTTTTTAAGCTATGGGGGCCATTTTGGATTTCTGATTTGGATTCAGTAAGTGATGGGGAATGTTCTCAGCTATAACCTCAACAAAGTTCAGCTCTGTACGTGTAAAAATAGTGGAGCTAAAGCCAGTCACTTATGTTGCTGTCACGCTTGATGAGTCAGTGCTGATGTGAGACAGGCAGCCACCATGACCACAGCTCTCTCAGTAAGAGACAAAAAATGTATCATTTTTATGAGAAGCTGGAAACAGAGTCTGTTTTCTACAAATGTTCCCAACAAGTGTGTCTGATCTGCGTAGCAAGCATGTGATTTGGGAAAAGATGCAACACGGAGCGCCATTTTACCAAAGTTCACAGCAACTTTTTGTGGAACGTTACTTCAGGTAGCTATTTTCAAAAAGACAAAGGAGCTAAAAACATCACTTCAAAGGCAACTGTCCTTTTTCACCAATCCCACAAAGACGAAGGTTTGTTCAGAGTGGTGCACAACTTGACTGTGGTGGCTAAAACTTTGTTCCAGGACCACAAAATGTAAGACGCAATTTCATCTGCTACTGCCGATGCACAAGGTAAGTGTCCACGTTATCAGCAGATGTGCTTAAACAGCTAGAATCTGACCTGGACAGGTAATAAAATAATGTGTTATGTGTTGTCATTATTGTATGTCCCCATACAATGATGAAATTGGCTCTCTGTGTTTAACCCATTGCACCTGGGATACACTCAGGTGGAGTGGTGGGCAGCTATTGGGGGTGCCTGGGGAGTGATTGGGGATAGGGTGTCCTGCTCAGAGACACAATAGGTGTGCAATGACAAGGGATCGAGCCTGGGACTTTCGGGTCCAGAGTCAGCTGCCCTGCCTCTACCCATCTCGGCCCCCAATAGGTGCCCATGGTTTTCAATTCAGAGTGACGAGTCTGTCAATGCAACTGATACACAAGATATGGTGTTTGGTGAAGTTTCCACCAAATAAAGAGTTTTTAACCTTACTTTCATTAAAATCAACAACCAAGGGAGATGATTTTTACCAGGACTTTGTAGCTCGAGGTCCCGGTTGGAAAGCTGGTGTCCATGACAACTGATAGAATGCCCACTATGACCAGTCATTCATGTATATGCAACGTTTTGTAATATTTCATCGTGAGTTTGAGATACCAATGTTTTGTAGGTGTTCAGACAATACAAGCTTATTCCAGTGGTTTGGGTGAAAATGGGTTATACATATAAATGTTACAAAACATGAATAGCTCTTGGTCATTTTCAGATGGTGAAAGAAGCTGTCAAAAGAAAAAAGGTTGGAGACATCTGCATTATAGCAACATATGAAGCAGTCAGAAGTTTGAACAGACCTACACACAAACAAATTATGCAACCTTGTCCAAACTTTTGCCTGATTCTTTATGTTGTTACAGTTCCACAAGTTAGTGTAGTAAGAATGAACCTTGAGCTGATGTCTCTGAGCATCGCGGAGCTGCCCGTCAGAGATGGTCTTCTGGTAGACCTGCTGTAGGCGGTCCAGTTCCTGAGCTGCCGTCTGCCACAGCTCCATGGCCTGCACCCGCTCCTAAACTCGCACACATAAAAATATCCACCCACATTCACTTAAATAACCACTATGTCATGTTTTCTGTTCTCTGCAAAAGATAAAGGAGTTCAAAAGTTCCCAGGAAGTACCTTTGACAAAGCGAGAGTGGCTGTTTCCCACCGCTCTCAACTGAGCGCAACGATTGAAATGATAATGATGGTCTAATCTGACTTCCAGTCACGATGAAAGCTCGCAGCACCCAGATGCATCAGTAAAAACTATGTTGTAATGTCAGAATCTACTGAAAGCATTACAAAGGGACAGCTCCTATTCATGGACACATTTCATAAAGGGTTATGTTGTCAACATTGTGTAATAATAATATTCAATACTTGGAGTTATAAACATATTTTATTCTTTAAATAGATAAAACAGTAACAATTGATTTATAATATCCTTAAACCAGACTTCATAATGTGGTACTTTTGTTTGATGATGACTCTGGACCTCAGCAGATTGGCAGGAATTACTACTCAATGTGAGGATCAGTGTATTTTAATGGTTCTTTGTTAGAGATCAGTTTGTCAGTCTCTTTTTGATCGTTATGTTTTCTGCATTTTGTTATTGAAGTATTTAGTTGTTATTTTTACCTGATTAGTGCTTTCATTTCAGTTTCCTGCTCCTGCCCACTCTCACCTGAACCTCGTCGTCTCTCCCCAGGTGTTTGTCATTCTCCTCCGTTGGTCTTGTCTTTATATTCTCTGTGTCTGTCCCTCAGTCCAGCATTAATTGTCCTCCACTTTCTGTGAACTGTCCACGTTTTGTGAGTTTATTTATATTAGTCTTTCTAGTGTGCTGCCATGTTAGCATTTAGTTTTTTTTTCTATTTTGTTAATAAAGTCCAAGTTTTCATTTTAACTAAGCCATACAATCCACACCAACCTTGAAACTCAATAAACTGATTGATGTGAAAGCTTAGAACAGCCAAACCTCCAAACGTCTGTACTTTGTTGTTTTGTATTTAAGAAGGAAATAATTTGAGTTGTTTATTCACACGATAAAGGTATTTTATTTTTAAATGTTATCAAGATTGTACAATGTGTATATACGGAGCCTGATAATATAATTACTTCTGATCTTAACCGATCAAAGTATTTTTTGAATGGTACCACAATATGAAAAAATAAAATAAAATGCAAACATGGTGTTTAAGCAAATATTTTCTGTTGTCTTTTCATCTCAATTTACGTCTGAAATTCCACAACAATCAATTAGCTAATTAGCATTAAAGGAAAGTCACACATGGTCTGAATTCAATACATCCCTGCAGCCATCAGACAGCAGAAAACAGAAGAACCAGCTTTAAAAAAGTGAGATAGAATGGACGGATATTTACGCAGCACAACAGCAGTGAGCTCATTATTCACTTGTATTGGCAATGGCAATATATTTATATAGCACATAAAAAATACAAAAGCTGAACAAAGTGCTTTACAGTTAAGTTTTAGTTTGCCGAAGCAGGAGTTGAAGAAAAGGATAAACGAAAAAATATATATTTTATAACAATAGTTTAAAAAATCCACATGAACATTAATATATATTTAAGATAAAGATAACTACTTGGTGACTTTCTACCAATATAAGTGAAAATAAATCCACTCAGTCATATTTTATAATCTCAGAAGTAAGTGAGGGTCTATTTCTCTGCTTATTCACAAAGTCCGTCTTTATTTCACCGACATGTTTGTAAGAAATAATATTTTTAAAATTACGTTAAATATGTGACTAAAAAACACATTTAAATTCATTTTTTTGGCACCATAAACAGCAGACAACTAAATAAAAATATTTCTTGCAAATGTTTTGGCTCCCAGGTTTTGAGAAGTCCATGCTGAAATTCAGAACTTATTACAGAATTTAGTCGGTAAACTCCCTAATAATCTAATTTTTGGTGTGTAAACAAAACATAATGCATAAAAAAAACTGGCTGAATATATCAGGCTGGCACAAACATAAATGCAAGGACGGCTGAGACATGACATGAACATCATAACTGTAATTTTGACCTAATCTAGAAAGAAAATAAAAAAAAAAAACAATTAGACAAATGCAAACCTGTTCAGATAGCTGAACCTGTTCCTGGAGGTTTCTGATGATGGTATCCTCCTCTACTGTGCCTCCCTCTGCTCCTGAAGTCATGGGCATGGCATGGAGCTGCCTTTCAACAGACTCTCTTAGCTCTGCATGCAACCTGGAGGTCATAAGTACAAATAGATTGTACTAAAACTCTTCATTCGTTTCACAAGAAAGGGACAAAAAAAAGATCATCCATCACTGTCAGTCAAGCAGATTTCTATTCAGCACCAACTTAGATATTTGGCTAAATGCTCACTATAAACCTATTTCTGGTGAAGACATCACTGCAGTCACCTAATATAAATATTTCAAAATTTGGGCTTTTTTTTCTGAAAGTGTTGCAACCACAAAGGTTTTGTTTAATATAACACGTCATTTCCTTCCATTTTGCAGTCACCTTCCACACATTGACAACTATAACATTGTTTTATCATCATCATCACCATTTACTTTATTTCAGACACAATATAAGATCCATATAGAAAACATAAAAAACAGCAAAAACACAGAATTAAAAAGTTTTTTTCTACAAAGGCTCAAAAGCCAATGAGTCCATAAAGTAGAAAAGTATCGCACAGAGTTTAGTCCAGGGTTGGTCAGTGTAGCGATGATACAGTTTCCAGATTCAGACAACCTACACATGCATCTATACATGAGGTTACGCAGCACCGCAGGGCAGGTAGGCACACCTGCGTCTACAAACATTTTGCTTGCACTGCTCCATCGAGGTACCCTTAGCAGCATCCGCATGCCATCATTATATGCCACATTTAGTCTATACATACTGCTCCTTTTACTTCCACAGGTGAGCGGTATACATGGGAGTGCAGTAGGCCTTAAACAGTTGGATCTAAACTGATGTTGAGCACAGTCCAAACCTACGTATCAGCATGTTAGCTTGTCCATAGAGCATACAACATTGTCTGTAAATGTTTTTATCATCTGACAGGTCTGCAGTCGCATAGTGCCCCAAGTATTTACATTCATTACTGATTTTCAGCCCGTTGCCCGACAGAAAGAAATCAGGGAACATCAACTCGGAGTCCTCTCTGCTCCGCACAATCATGATGCTGCTTTTCTTAGAATTATAAGGGCAGAACATTATTCCAACATCAGCATACATGAAATGGTTGATGATCCTGTTACCAACCCTACAGCCTGTTCCACAGTCATTTAAGAGCTTTGACAGATCGTCCATGTACACATTAAATAAAAAGGGAGACAGGATGCTACACTGCCTCACACGATTTGAAACTCCGAAGGGATCTGATACAGAGTTTCCCCATTTTACATACATGTGCTGATTAGCATACCAAAAGACAAGAATCCTCACCAAACATTTGGGGACACCTCTGTTATACAACTTGTGAAACAACTTTTCATGGTTTACATAATCAAACGCCTTTGAGGCATCAATAAAACACATAAAAATGGAGGTGTTGTGTGTGTTGTATAGATCTAAAATTTCTTTTAAAGCAAAAAGTCTGTTCCATGTTTACGTTTAAAAGCAAACTGATTATCAGAGGTCAGCAAAAATCTTTCCAGTTTGTTCAGAACAGCCCTCTCCAGTACCTTAGACAAGGTGCTGGCCAGAGCTATAGGCCTATAATTATCCTTACTGTTAATTTTACCGGCTTTATCCTTCACAATAGGAACTAAAATGACAGACAATAATTTGTCAGGTAACACATTTTCATTACTATCAATATTTCCAACAATAAATGCATTACTTTTAACAGCATTAAAAATATCATGATAATGTTTCTGCCATAGTTCAGTAATCTGCTTTGCTCTGCTCACACCATCAATATGTGTTGGTAAAGACATTTTTTTTATCATTCGTTATTTTAATTTCTTTCCAGAAATCTTTTACCTTTCATTTTCTTTCACAACCCTCTCCAGCTTCAGTTTGATGTCCGTCATCATCTCCTGTTAAACAAACACAAACACTTTTCAAAGATACTCAAGAGGCTTTCATCAGCCAGCTGCATATTTATATGCAAGCTTGTAATTAATATGGCCTTGGCTACTACTTCAGTATGCATCTTTTACAAATATTCAAAATAATTCATAAAATCAAGAGGTTGACCACCTCATATTAACATTTTTCATCCTACCTGGTATTTCTGCAGCTGTTCAGTCATTTCATCCATGTGTTGATCATATTCTACTACAAGTGGAGCCATTAAACTGTAACACAAAAGGAATAATCATATAACTTGACGGGGGGAACATATTTGTTCTTGGTCACATTCATGAACACATTTATTTGAGTTCCCTGATGGTGCAGTTTTAAAATGTGCCACAAAAAAATGGGAGCAAAACCAAAACTGTTCAACTGACCCTCTGTCTGAGAGCCAAGGAGCAGGAGCTTCTGTTTGCTGTGTCTCCTTCCCCTGACAAACACAAGACATGCAGCAGTGACGTTTACAATTTGTATCAGATATTATCTAATGATACTAAAAACTACTGTCGTGGAAAAAAAGGAGATTTCCAAGGACGACCAAGGTGTAGTTCATCAAATTTATTTACAAAGCTTTGGAGAACAGTCCAGCATTCACAGAAGATCAATGCACTTACAAGATCACACTCTTGTCATTGTCCTCATCCATCTGAAATGCTGACCTGCTCTAACTTCCTACACTGGAAAGGTTAGTTTTATAGAATAACCTCCAGCCTAGCACTCAGCCCCTCTCCTCCTTGACCGAGCTCATCGAAAGGTCCGCTGCTGACAAGGAAGGAGTGGATCTGAGTCAATGACTCTGCTTCAAGACACATCACCATATCAATACAATATCAATCAACCCTTGAGGATAATAAAACTAGTTATTTATGTTCCTCACTGACCAAGAATGATTGTTACATGAAACACATTGTTCATATCACAGGACAGGACAGGACAGAAAGGTATGGAGCATGGTAAGTGCAAATATTACACATTACCATGACACTACCATATGCTTAGTCATTGAGACAAAACAAAGGTGGGTGAATTACAGACGTGTTTATGTCACTGATGCCAAATCAGCTCATCAATCCACTTTTTTTTTCAGTTTTATCCATGGAGAGACTAAGAAATGTTAGAACAAAAATGTTAAGTTCCTCCATTGGGTTAATTTCTTGCTATTACAGAAAAAAAATGTTTTAACTAGTCTTGAACGTTACACTTAGTTGTTTAGCAAGCAATCCTATCCAAGACAATGTACAAATGAGAAGCAAATCAGTATAGAAGACAAAAGTTTTTTAGCTTCTGATTCACAAAATATCACCTGTATACATTTGTGATCCTGATTATTGTTGGTTAAAATGTTGCTAAAAAGTAAATTAAACAAGGATAAAATGACAGCACATACAGCCTCATCACATGCTTACACCCAATCATGATATCTGCTTTTTTTTTATTTTATAACAAATATCAAACACATGCAATTAGCAATCACTTCCAAATTTTATTTGATTTCTGGTACACAGTCAGTGGAAGTTAGGGATGTTAAAGTATTGGGAGAGAAGGTTTTTTTCAGAATCAGAATAAGCTTTATTATCATTGTAACAAAATACAGTGAGATTATGTTCGTACGGTCGCCCGGAAGATGGGTGGAGTGCACGTTGCTGCTGCTTTTAGTACAAAAATGTGCTTGTTAGGCTGCCTTCACGTCCAGGCCTTCCTTATGAAAGAGATCTGTGATCTCAACGGGATTTACCTTGTTAAATAACAGTTATTAAAATAAAATAACATTTATCAGGTGAGATAAGTCTTCAAAAATGTGAAAGTAACCATCTCAAGGAAACAAAAGCTTGTATGACAGCGTTTAGACAGTATAATGTCTTTATTTTTATTCTGTTACTGTAACAAAACTGACTAGCAAAATCCAAACATGAATGATCTTGTCACTGACAGTCATTTAACTTCAACTAGTAATTGAATAAAATGTGTACATTATAGCAAATAAAAACAAAACATGTTGGAGAAATGTGAGAAAAGCATAGAAGTGGTTGAACTAACTACAAAGTTTTCTTTTTAGAAAGCAAAAGCAGATGGTAAAACCTTTGGTTTACAAAAAATAATAACATTGCCTAATAGATTTTATTTGGTTACATTAAATTACGTTTTACCTGAGATGATGTGAACTGAGTGTCGAGTCTGTTCTGATATTGTCTGAGAGCAGAATTTAACCTGCGGACTAAAAACAAAACAAACCATCAATTATTGGGTTATTAGGTTCTCAGTTTTAACACATAAACAAACATTAAAAACTATTCTTTTTCCGTGTGTTCTTACCTTGATCACGCAAAAACTCAACTTCTGCATCCATGCTTTTTAAATGAATAGAACAAAAGCTAAAAAATAAAATGTTTGCAACTGCAAAACAATAATTAGCAAACTATCGTAAAGCGTAGAAGCTGATACAAGAGTCAACGATTGATTTCAAGATAGCCTTTTGAGACTGATTTATCTGTTAACAGCAAAAAGGTTTCTTACTACTATAATCATGGATGTTATCAGCTTTCAATCGTTATATTTGGATACAGTTTGTAGCTAGCTGCTGTAGCAGCGAATAAAATCACAGCTAAATATAGCAAGCTAAGCTAGCGCTCTGATTGTTAAACTTGCTTTTGGCTTTATGGCGAATAGAAATCCTTAAGAAGAATAAATGTACACTGGTTACATTTAATTAAATAAGAATATACTTTTAGGTTTTTTTTTTTACTTTATTCGATGTTTCCGCCACCCGTTTTGAAGTAAACAAATAACAACCAATAGCGAGAAAGGTGTGCACCGCTGGAATTGGTCCGTCTAAGAAACAAACATAAGTACAAAGTTCCGCCGTGGTGGGTGACACTTCGGCGGAAATGCAACGTAAGTGAGGAAATAAACAAATTTGTTTTCAGTTTTTACTTGTTTTCTGTGATGTTTGTTACGCAGAATGACTTAAAGTTTTCTTATTAGTCTCGTTTATATTGGAAAATATGGAGACATAAAAGTGCTGAGTGCGATTATTAGCCACATTTTTTAGTTAACAAAGATTTTTGCTAACCCAACTTTAGAAAGCAACATTTCTGTGGTTGTTAAATTATGTTTCCAAATCAACAACTTTCCAAGTAAGTTCCTCTTGATACGTCTAAGATTTATCTTTCAGGAAGTATGCTTTTTTATTATTTAGTTACTAAGTAACAGACATAATTTGCTTCCTATAAAAGTCAAGCAGAAGGTACAGTGAGACACAACAAGCTTCTGTAGATCTTAGCCTTCCTTTAGTGAATGAACAGGCTTTTGTCAAAATGAGGGTAGCTCTTGGACTTCAGTTTTTAACACTGTTTCACATCCTGCTAAGTTGTGAATCTCGGTAAGGTAATAAGACACTGTGTGTTTCTGGTCACCCAACAGTTTCTCATCCCAACTTATGTTTTCTCTCTTTCAGTTCATTTACTGAAATGGAGTTTGCCATCGAGAACACCTGGGACAGCAACCCTGTGGATCATGACCCCATCAGGATTGTCTTCTCTGATGGAAAAGCAGGGTTAAAAATGGAAGTGTTCGGTCCGTTCTTCAACGATCCAGCAGCTCCTCCAGTGGAACCAGGTCTGTCTTTCCCTGGACTCTGGAATTACGAAGGTGGGTGTGAAAATAGTTCACTTTTGCTCAAGCCATTCTATATCAAGTTCAAGCCAACTGTATTGTCATTTTCATCACATGTGGTACATGAGGTGGAACAAATGTATGTACACAGAATCCCAGTTACACCCAAAACTAACAAAAATATAAAGTTTAAAAAGAAACAATTAGTAAGGATCTAAGATATATGCTAAATAAACACCAAACGGCATGCTAAAAGAGTTAAGATATACGCTAAACACTAATAATGTAAACCAGTACGTTGTAACAACAGCAGCCCCATGTTTACACGTTGTCAAATGGAATGGAAAAGGTAAAATGTTTAACACATTTCTCGTTAAAAATTGCTTTTGAAATTAATAAAATATTCAAAGACTTGTCAATTTCCTTTTTAGATATTTCTTATTAAGAACTGCTACTAGTTTCATTTAGTGTAAACCAATATTTATTTACTTTTCTGATTTTTTTAATTGAAAGATTTATAAATTAAAAAAGTTTTTTGAAGAATTAAAACACACAGTACAAGCTCACAAAGTAATATGCTATACAGTATTTGTTTTGGGTGTACCTACTAAAAATTACAAATGAGCACAATTTATTATTAACCAAGATAAATCTTTTTTTTTTAATTCATAAAACATTAACAGATATATTGTAGTTCACTGAGTTCATTTAACTCATTTAAGAAAATAAAAAAAACTATTTTGTAAACATATTCTTTAATTAATCTAATAAAAAATAATTTAAATGTGACAAACTCTTGAAACCATAATGCTGATTAAAACAAACCTTATAAAATTCATAGAGGCCACTTTTATAGCCCGGCGATAAAGTGTGCAAGTACACTTGTGCCTTTTATGGTTATCTCAACCCCCCACACTCCAACCCCACTGTCCAGTTACATTAAAGTAATTAGTTCAGATCTGATTAGGAATTCCCAATCAGATCTGAAATAATGTATGTGAAATAAATTTAGGCCATTCTAAAATCCCAAACAAAATGGTGAAGGTAGTCCAATGTGGTTTGGGAGATAAGGGTTCTGTTCCTCTGGTCATTTTTTATGATATTATTATAGTAACTGTATTATCATTGTTTTGGTAAAACAAAGCAATTAAACTTTATAATGAGGTTAAATATTAACAATCCATTCTAACTGACCTTAAAGAGGTTTGATGTCTGCTCATTATTGTTACTTAAAAGATAAGAACCTTTATAGTTTAGGTTGATAAAGAGTATATAGCTTGGTCAGTGGGAGAGCTGGTGCCTTTAACTTATTAAAAGTTTTTTTGTTGTTGGTTTTTTTGTGATCTTGCAAATCTTCACTTGTTTGTTACTTATTGGCTACTTATTAATCGTATCCGCTAATTTTGTAGAAGAAAGCAGACCATAATTAAATAACAGCTGTTAAGCAGTTTATTAATGTAAGAATAAAGGTCTTATCTTAATTTCCTGTTCTTTATCTCGTCAGTTGTGGAGTCCTTCTTTCTTGATAGCACGACGGAAAATTACCTTGAGGTGGAGCTTTGCCCGTAAGTTTCAATCTTAAGCTCTCGCTCTTTTCATGTGAGTGACCTTGTGTTAATAAACAGACGGTTTTATCATCAGACATCTTTTCTGTGTTGCTTCTGAATTACTTTAGGCATGGACAGCACCTTATACTGTTACTGTCAGGTGTCCACCATGCATTCATGGTAGGCTGGATGAATGTTTTGGAGACTTTTTTTAAAGTTCGGTCAAACGTCGTTGTTTTCTGAGTTTTCTGTAATTCTCTTATTCTTCAGCAACAACTTCCAATGATGTTTACAACCACAACCACAGGAGATACGTGGAAGGGTGAGGCTCTAATCCCATGGTCATACTTCCCTCCCAACGTCAACAAGATGAACTCGTATGCCATTCATGGCTCAGGAGAGGAGCGCACATATGAGGCTCTTTTCGCCGTCCCCAAAGAAGACCTTGTGGAAGGCCAACAGCCCGACTTGTAAGTATGCTGGCTTGTAGAAAATAATTCAGGGTATTTCGCATCACAAATCTTTGGTAGCACAATGGCTCAGTGGTTAGCACTGTTGCCTCACAGCAAGAAGGTCCTGGGCTCAATCCCCGGTTGGGCCTGGGGTCTTTCTGTGTGGAGTTTGTATGTTCTTCTCGCGCTTGTGTGGATTTTCTCCGGGTATTCCGGTTTCCTCCCACAGACCAAAAACATGCAGGTTAGGCTGCCTTCAGGCCCAGGCCTCCCTTGCAAAAGAGATCTGTGATCTCAATGGGATTTGCCTGGTTAAATAAAGGTTAATAAAATAATAAATAAGTCATGTGAGCAGGTGTTTAGATAGCAGGCACATTCTGAGTGTCAAAACGCATCGTGTCAAATGCACAATGGGGATGAAAGCATAAAGAAAAACACGAAACGGAGCTTTCAAAGACTGCTTCACAAATATATTTACAACCTGACAACAAAGCAGCATGAACAGGCTAAACACCAGAAAACAAAAACTTACATGCCAAAGCTTAAAATACTTAAAACAGTTGAGTTATTTATGTTTTGATCAAGTTTTTCGTACCAACGGCATAATAAAGAAAAGAGTGGGTACAGACTTAGGGTCATCATTAAGAGCGCTTGTAGCCAGACTAAGAAAAGTCTCTGTCAGCAGGTTGAAGGAAAACTCAGTCAGCAGACAGACGTACACACCAGTGTACCATATTTTTCAGCCTATAAGTCTCAGTTTTTTTACATAATTTGCATGCCCTGCGACTTGTACTCCGAAGCAACATATTTGTATTTTTTCCCGTATTTATAAACCAACTTTCGACTGAGATATGACCGTTTTCATTCATTCTGACTGAAAATATTGAACACTACCATTGTCAGCTGCTAGATGGCACTCGAGGAGTGTGGCATGCAGTCGTGTCATGTAATAGGTAAACGCGGCTATTAATGACACGGTCGGCTTGCCATAACCTGCCACCTTCGTCCAGCTCGCCTGGAGCAACCGTCAAATCAGCTTCATTTCGCAGCTCCGTCCTGGTGACATGCAGCTGATTTGACCATTAAAGTGCGACTTGAGATGAGATGCGACTTATATGGCAAAGCAACATAGTTATGTTTTTTTGATTTAATTAGACATATTTGGACTGATGTGACTTATACGGTGGTGCAACATGTACAGCGGAACATACAGTACTTACTTTGGTGCCAGTAAGCTGCAGCAGGAACCTGATGATGATGATAAATGTACGGAGCCCGTTTTGTAAATAGACACACAAGCTCCTCCATAAAACACTCTTCTTGTTTCCTTTGTCGTTTGCACAGAACCATATCAGTAGTTAGCTGCGGCAGCTATTGATCTGAATAACAAAGCTATATATTGTATATTAAACTATAAACACATACAGTTTCCACTGTAGTCAGCAGTTTGTACCCTTTACAGCACCATAAATTACCTCCATGACATTGTGGAAAACATTCTGATTATATTATCAGGCTTATCTTGATATATTTACGTATTCAAACTTTAGATGGTTACTTCCAGTGTAAGTAAATAACAGTTTATATTTGTTTTTGTAATGTCTGCAGTTGTTTTATATATATATTTAAACATTTCCAAACAGGAGGATGAAAATGTATGATCAGAATCATCCCCAGCTGATTCCATTATTACCGCATCAGTATATGTAGATGTGTTTATTAGGATTTGAGTGTGTTTTTGCAACTTGCATCTTTTTGTGTTTAATTCTATATTTTGTTTTTCTTTTTAGTCACCGCCTGGAGTATTTTAAAAATTTCCGCCTGCAGAGCATCATGGGAGAGGATTGGGTCCAGCCAGAATCCGATCTGTGGAAGGGAAAGGCCTGAGTTTGACCAAAATGCTACTTTTGTCTTTTTTAAATAATTTTCTTTTGCACCAACAGACACACAAAGTCACCACAGCAGCAACAGGGCAAAAGTGCAAATAGTCTTTGACAGCGAACAAAGGGCGATCAATCTTTATTACTTAATGATGCAAAACGATATGACAAGAAATGCATTATCAGCTTGTCAGACTACATTAGACTTCACACACGTCTGTGCGAGCGCGCACACATATTTATGCGAGCGCACAGACACGCATCACATGCTGGACATCAGCTTAAATTGCCTGAGCCAAGTGTGACCTACAGCGCTTCTGATGTGCTTGGTGATGAGGGATGCTCATTCTGACATTCAGCTCCTGCGTAGCCTGAATTTTTCACTTTGTTGAGATAACACGCTACAAATCTTGTGATTCTTTACGCTCATTTTTAGGGAACACGCACACAAACGATGATGCACGCGTCACTTACGTGAAAGAGAAATTAAATCTTGTTTGTAATGGCAATGTTTTTTTTATGATGAATGTATAATGTAAAATAAAATCATTTACTGCAAATAAGATAAATGGATATATTATTTCAGTGTCTCTTTCCTGAAACTGTTTGTTTAGCTAGAACAATTAGCCGTTTCGTTTGTTTAGGTGAGCATCAGGTTCAGTTTTCCCCACTTCCTGTACAATCATTGAAAAAGGCATGATCCAACGTTTAGACAGGACAAAATTTAATGACACTTTCATAAAGTTACTCTGACTCAAGATAGCCACCACAGCTAACCTTAAGAAACATAAAAATGGCAAAACCCAGCTTGCTATACAGATATGTGGTAGTAGCTGACAGTCATTCATAACAAATTAAGATGTTTCTCTACACAATCGACCTATCCTTGCATTTCTATGCCGACGATACAGTTGTTTATTGTTGAGCTGAGACAGTTAAGGTTTTCCAGCTTCTACAATCTGCATTCGACATCCAGTCAGATTTGTTCCGTCTCAAACTGGTGCTAAATGCTGATAAAATCAAATGGATGTTGTTTTCAAACAGGAAGTTGGTCCCAGCAGTCTTTATCTTATCTATGAATGGTGTTCCTACTGAGTTTGCTGATTCTTATAAATACTTGGCAGTCTTGGTCGATGCACATCTCTCTTTTAAGCCTCATGTCGAAAACTTTGTAACTGAAAATTAAATTTCTTTTTCAGAAATAGATCTTGCTTAACTTTAAACGCTAGGAAACACCGTGTAGCTGCTACTTTTCTTCCCTCCATCGACTACAATGACATTTACATGAACGCCCCTAAAATCACCCTGCAGTTGTTGGATGCTGTCTATCACGGTGCGCTAAGATTCATAACTGACTGTAACTACCGTACCCACCACTGCATCCTGTGTTCACTGGTTAACTGGTCATCGTTAACTTCACGCAGACTCTCACTGGTACATTTTCATCTTTAAATCACTTCTTGGTCTGTTGCCTTCATACATCTATATGTGACGTTGTCAGTGCAGTTACAGCGTGCGCTCTCAAGACATCACCTGCAGTGTTCCGTCAGTGCGGACTGAACTCTGCAAAAAGGCCTTCTCTTACTCCGCTCTTGTTTCCTGGAATATCCCACAAAAAGATCTGAAGCTCTCCACCTTGACCTTTCTAAGGGATTTTAAACATCTGTTAAGTTCAATGGAAAAATCAAAGCAGACACGTTCCTGTTTTTAATATTTTACCTCGTTTCATAAAGTAGCTTGCTTTTATTTCGTTTTATATCGCTACTTTTTTTTTTTACTTTTCATTTTACATGCATTTTATGGCTGTTTGTACCTCATCTGTGGTTTTGTCTAACACATGCCTCTCTTGTAAACGAGGCCTCGTGACTCAGTGAGACTAACCTGTATTAATAAAGGTTGAATGAAAAAAAAAGGATTGCTAGATTTTTAATTAGGTCATGAAATGACAGAAGTTCGTAAACTGTGACGCTCATCAGCTCTAATAAAAACATGAAAAAGCACTCTTATGTTCCCCACTACGGAGCCCCTTATTTTTCTTGTATTGTCACACACATGATGACTGGGCTGCCATAAACCAGTCTGCTCCATCCAGCTGGCTCCTGGGAGTGTCACCTCTTTGCACCGATCCAGCTCCTAATAAAGCAAGCGTGTTTATCCCGAGCTTCATTCAGATAGAGTAGCAAACCGCTTCTCCTGAACAGAAGCTCAGGAGAAGGAGGGTGATTGATTTTCATGTTGGCTGTGTTGCCCTTCGCTGCGGCAGCCCAAAAGCTCATATTGAGCCCTATCAGTTTTAATTGGCATCCTCGCCTTTGAAATGGGAGCTGTGATTAGGCCTGGAGAGCTTGCCGCTTAAGCCCCCTCCTTATCATTGCCTGCGGTGCCTTGCCACCACACTGCACAACATTCACCTACACACACAAAGAGGTTGTCACGCCATATTCCACCATCATATCTATTTCTAATAAAATGTGACCTAAAATCATGTTTTGGGACATCTTTTCACAAAAGCAGGATCTTCTGAAAACTCTTTGATGAGCGGTGACTACCTGCACCTACCTGAGAGCAGCTCGAGGACGCACGTCCCCGCTAAGATTCAAACCCCGTTCTTTCTAATTAGAGTGGAGAGATGAGAGGGGGAGAGCAGAAGATGTAGCTGCCTCCCCTCCACCTCTAATGCCCGGCAGACGTGCAAACATAAGAGCTGTCGTATTCCCGAAAGAAAAGAGACCAGCCGGCTCTAAAACATTCAGCATCAGCTTAGGGGAGATTTTTGGTGTCAGAAACTTTCTAGCGATCACCCCAGACCTAGTTACTTTTTTTTTATTAGTATTATTTCATTTCCTAGAGATGTAGGCCTCATTTTCTCAAGTTTAAAAGAGTGTTTGAGGGTTTGATTGAGGATAAAGTTTTGATGAAAAATAGAAAGCGAGAGATAAAGGAGTGATCTCGGAACATGAAATACACGAGAGATGAAAAAGTGAAAGTGGTAATGACTGCCTAGTTTAAGGAATTCTGTAATTGGGTCCAAATGAAAGATTTATACAAGAGCTAATGTGACAATCCAAAGTTTTTCAAGCCACTGGCAGGAGTACTGTCAGATTGTAAAAGTTCAAAACAACCTTATCAGCATCATTTATTGTATAATTATTATATGACGTGTCTAATCCACCACATAATACACAGAAAAACACACTTTGATCAGTGTTTACAAGGGATTTAATCTTACTTAATCACCGAAGTGCCTTTTATAAACTTCACCTTAATCTCTGAGTTTGTTCTCTAACATCTACAGCATGGTAAATCTTTCATAAAATATTACCATATTTTTCAGCCTATAAGTCACAGTTTTTTGCAGAATTTGCATGCCCTGTGACTTATTTATGTTTCTTTTCTCATATTTATAAACCAATTTTTAGCTGAGATATGACCGTTTTCATTTATTTTGACTGAAAATATTGAGCACTACCATTGCTAGGTGGCACTCGAGCAGTATGGCATGCCGTTGTGTCATGTAATAGGTAAAAGTGGCTATTAATGACACAATCAGCTTGCCTTAGCTGCCACATTCGTCCAGCTCGCCTGGAGCTACCGTCAAATCAGCTTCAGTTCGCTGCACCGCCCCGACGAAATGCAGCTGATTTGACCGTTGAAGTGCATTTATTAAGTAAAAGTTCAACTGGGACACACCTTTACTATAAAGTCGAGCAAACAAATATTTGTTTTAGGTGCTTATCTTGTTAACGTTCGAAAAATTGCACAGCGAGTCGCCCTCTGTGCGTTCATGTTTCCGCGTATCGGCTTTTGAAAATGCAATTGATTTGACCGTCAAAGTGCATTTATTAATGAAAAGTTAGACTGAGACACACCTTTCACTATAATTTTGAGCGAATAAATAATTGTTTTTAAGTGTTGTTCTTGTTAAATTCTTGTTAAAGCCCTCCCATGCACGCCCCCGCAACCGCCATTTGGCAGTCATTCAATATTTGGCACAACACCGGCCCACATTTTCGGGTTGTCAGCGGTGATGCATAATAGAAGCAACATATTTATGGATTTTCCCACTTTATTAGACATAATTGGACCGATGCGACTTATAGGGCGGTGCGACGTGTACGGCAGAAAATACTGTACAGTTTTAGTGACGTTATCCTAGTCTTCCTGCTATTTTGTTTTAGTTGTTTTACTTTAGATGCGCTCACTGGAGAACATGGCATCCTAGTGTTTTTTTTTTCAAATCAACTGAATGCTTAATAACTCTGTCTAATTATTGCCCAAGAAGTCCATCAATGCTTAAAATGCTGCAGGGCTGAAGAGTGGAAAAGATGGCCGAGGGCAGGAAGAAAAAGACGCGGACCAAAATGCTTTGGCGTTGTGTGTGTTGGTGAATGCCTGACGACATAAGCCTTAATTGCAGTTGAAGCCTGCTAGTGTTGCGAGTACAGGAATGGCATGGCCAGAATGTGGGATGAAGCTGTAAGAGGCTGGGGAGAGGACGAGAGAGTTGCAGAGCCCAGCGAATGCCAAGGACATTAATGAGGGCCAGACGAGTTCTTCTGCTCAAGAACACTGCAGCGAGCAGGAGGGGCGAGTGAGAGAATGAGGGGAATAGATATGAGAGCAACAGAGAGGGTTCATTACACAAGAATGTTAAACTAGTATTTGCAAACTTGAGCAAACAGCTTTTCCTCACATGCTCAAATATCCAGAAATTGGCAAACCTTCTTTATGACAACATAAATGAATGAAAAGTCTAGAATTGTTTGAATGGATGCATGTCACATTTCATGCCAGTGTTTTACACCGAGATCTTCTCACGATGAGAAATGATGCAGTTAGAGCGACTTAAAAGAAAAAAAACACACAAGCTCAGGCAATAATGTGATAAATAGCATGAGCTGTTAGAAACTGAAGCATATGTTGATTACCAAACCAAATTTTAGCTCAGTATCTAGGAAATTCACTAAAATACCAGTATTTTGTTAAGCTAAAGTCCATTAGCTGTGGTGATCTACTGTTTTATGAGATATTTTGCTAACAAACAGATTTGATTTCAATATTTCAACATCAAAGTTTAAACATAAAACTTGTGCAATCAGTTAGTGCTCACAGTGTGTGTTGGTCATGACTCTCAGCTACAACCACAGCAAGTTTTAACTTAGTATCTGGCAAACCGAATGAGTTATTGCCATTTTTGTTTTAGTTAGATTGCTTTGCTGTGGCAGCCATTTTGAATTGGATTGACTCCAAAAGGTAATCAGTTGCAGTTGTGCAGACAATGATTACTTTGCAGAAGTTTCATTAAAATCCTTTCAACGATCCATGGGGTATTTTGCTAACAGCACAGACATGAACAAAAATTATTAGTCACTCCACCTTTGTTTGCAGCTGCGGGCGATAAAAACTGGACAGAGAGAGAATTTTATGCTGCAACCAGCTGATTACATTACATTTATATTTATAAATTTGTAATGTCATGCATTTCACACAACTTAGTAGTTTGTGTACAAACACAAAAATATAAAGACAAACATTG